GTGGTGTGGAGATTTTTTTGTTTGTGAGTGCAGGCTTCCAAATGATTGACAGCCTGGTGGAATCATCTCTTCTGTTCATGCTTTCTGGTCTTTTTTCAATCTCTATGGCTTCTCTGATGACTCTGTGGCTGGGATTTTCTATAGTGGCTAGGGTTTTGGTGCCATTGAAGTTGATTCTATGACCTGTGGCTTCCATGTGTTGGACTAGTGAGGAAGTGTGTTCCAGCTTTTTGACTGCATTTTTGTGTTCATCCAGGCGGGTACTTATTCTTCTATTGGTCTGTCCAATGTATGTGGCCGGGCATGATGCACAGGTGACTTCGTATATGCCTTGGTTTTCCAGGTCAATTTTATCTTTGGGGTTTCTAAGGATGGCTGCTATTTTTCTGTCTGTTTTGAAGGCAGTCTTGATGTGATGTCTGTGTAGTATCTTGCTGATTTTGTCTGTAGTACCTCTTATGTAGGGCAGGACAGCTGTTCCATAGGTCTGTTCATCTTCTGGGTCTCTATTATGTCTCAGTGTGTTTTTGTGGATCAAGCCGGTGATTTTGCTTTTGTGGAAGCAGTTGGCTGTCAGTACTTTAGTCAGGGTGCATAGTTCAGTCTTAATGTGTGTCTTGTCTGCCAGGCATTTGGTTCTGCAATTAGTGTTTTGGCCACGGAGTTTATCTGTGCTGGGTGGTGGTGGGATTGGGCGTTGAGGTAGCGGTTGGTGTGTGTTTTCTTCTGGTATATGGTGTGTCCTAGTGTGCCATCTGTTTTTTTGTAGATTAGTACATCTAGGAATGGTAGTTGTTTGTTTGTTTCTGTTTCCATGGTGAACTTGATTTTGGGGTGTGCGCTGTTTAGGTGTGTTAGGAAATTGTTTAGGTTTTCTTGTCCATGGGGCCAAATCATGAATGTGTCATCGATGTATCTTAACCATAGTTTGGGTTTGAGGATGGCATTGGCATTCTGCACAAACAGAAAAATATCCACCATCCTAAGAAACCCTAAAGACAAAATCGAGTTAGAAAACCAAGGAGTATACGAAATCCCTTGCACCGCCTGCCCCACCACATACATTGGACAAACTAACAGAAGAATAAGTGCACGCGTTGAAGAACATAAGAACTCAATCAAAAAAGAAGAACCGACCTCTTCCCTGGTCCAACACCTCAAAGCCACAGGACATGAGATTGACTTTAAAAATACTAGAACTATCACCAAAACCGAACACTTCAACAACAGAATAATCAGAGAAGCCATAGAGATAGAAAAACGCCCACACAGCATGAATAAAAGAGATGACACCTCCCGCCTACCAGCCATTTGGAAACCCGCCCTCATGAACAGACGAGTACCTAACATGAAGAATGACACCAGACCCACACCCACGAGGGCCACACAAGATGCCACCACCACACTTCCACGTAAAAAGCAGACTCACACCCATACAGAAGATGAGACACGACCACAGACCAGAAGCCGCACTGCAGCTGCATCACTACCCACTTCAAACCCCTCTGAGCCATACATGAAGCGAACTGACCCCCACCATGAAGATGCAGCACGACCACAAACTCAAAGCCAAACAGCAAGATCACAGCTCACCAGCTCAAATTCCCCCAGCAACTAAGACTAACCTGAGCACAACCAAGCCCCCACCTGAACAGAACACACCTCCAGCCAATCAGAACACGGCCAACCCCCCAACCAATCAGAACACAGCCAAACCCCCAACCAATGAGAACACACCCCCACCCAATCAGAACACAGCCAAGCCCCCAGCCAATCAAGTCACACCCCCACTAGCAGTTAAAAGGAAGAAGCAGCTGCAAGCTCACATCACTCTGAGAAGCACAGAGCTGAAGACACAAGCCTGAAGATGATGAAGAGACTTCATCGAAACGTTGCCTAGATACTTCCAATCTTACACGGGAGAAAACCCAAATAACCAAAGATCTATATCTATATCTATATCATCTATATCTACACACACACACACACACACATGCATACATACATAAATACAAAATAGATATATTCCCTAAATAATGTTTAAAAAACATGTGGGTGCAAATTTAAGATACATTGATATTCAAAGCCATCATCTAATGCCTTAGAATTAATGCTGTTGGAAAAATATGGAATCCATTCATTTATACCTCACATTTTCCTTGTTTCTCGTGTGTGTGTGTGCGTGTAGATCTTTCATGCGGTTTACTCACGAAATGATGAAAGCTCAGCAGTATTATTGTGGACAAATCTGTAGCCTGAAATGTACTTTGGAAATGATAGACATTGTGTTTTGTTATCTCTGTTCAGCAAATCATAGTTTGGTTTAAGGCCATTGTTGATTGGTTTAAGTTTATTATTTCTTTTTATGATGTAAACATTTGTATTTGCTTTTTTTTTTAAAGCAGCTATTTATAGTGGCCCTTTGTGTTACACAATTCTCTCAAATAAAACAAACATATTAAACCTAACGTGCTGTAAGGTCTTGCCTCTCCAATCTTCCCAAGAAAGCAGGATTCATGGAACTGCAGTTCTAAAAGGAGCTTTCATTGAAAGGCGTGATAGCAAGAGGTCTAGGCAGGAACTAAATGTTCCCACTTAAAAAACAGCAATTTAAAACAATGCAAATAAAACCCCTCCCACAATACAGCAATGCAGGAAACAGAATCTCACAGCACAGAAATGTAGGAAACAGAATCTCACAGCACAGCAATGCAGGAAACAGAATCTCACAGCACGGCAATGCAGGAAACAGAAACAGAAACTTCATAGAGAGATCCCTCCAATCCTCCCCCCTCCCACCAGAATGCCAGCGTCCCAATAGAAATATATGGGACCTGACACATGCCATGGTTTGCATGAAGAGTATTTCATAATTATACAAAAGTTAGGTCAATTAAAAAACTTAAGGAAATTTGAAAAGTATTCCTATATACATTCTTATGTTGCTCCAGTGATGATCTTACGTCACTACATATTTACGAGAGTTCTGAGCCACCAATTCATTTTAGATTCTAGACAATTTATATCCAATGGCATAAAACAACACAATTAAAATTTCTTTACAAGCATTTAAAAATTATCCTGTCCCAACCACTCGTTCAATGAATATTCGGAGTTGTGATGACACTGAAACAAGTGAGACTTATGTTGAAAGGTGCCAAAATGCCTTTCTTTCGAGGATTCGATTTTCCCACTGGGAGAGCTCCGGCACAAGGATACGGACAACTGCTTGAAAGCTGGATCTTTTTATTTTTCAGGAAGGCGGGGAACAGCGAGAAGTCTGCGTTCCTGGGCTAGCTAGCTTCTTATGGTAAGTCCCTGGTTTTTTATACCCTTTTCTCCCTTTGTAAGTTGATTTTGTGCGAATGTTTGTATTTGTGCTTAATGTTTCAAATCCTGTTTGAGTTTGTCTTTATTCCCGCCAGATGGCAAACTCCGCGGGGTGCGGAAGGCAAACTCCGCAGGGTGGCTAGATTGTATTATTGGTTTTCTCTAATCTCTTTTAGCTTTAAGATAGTTTTTCATATTTGTTCTGTGGCAATCTCCTGTCTGTCCCTTTTGTAATTTATATTTTGTGTCTTTTGTCTGTTTGTTTTGCTTATTTGGTATGTCCTCTGTTTGTAAGGGTTTTCTAAATTATCTTTTTGTTTCCTTTTCTTATTTGTCTAGTTTTCTTAATTACTTAGGCTTTTGTCTATAGGAATTCTTTAATACCTTTTTTATTTGATTCCTTTTCCTATGTGAGTTTGTTTTATGGCTGACCTGATGTTTCCCTTGGGCTTTTCCTGTTTTTGTGACACTACTGTCTTCGTGAAGTTCCCTTTCCACACTTATAACCAGCATGTGTAGCTCTGGCTGCCCTAGCATCCCTGTTGTCAAGTGATCATGATCTGGGTGCCTGGCAACTGTCTAGTACTTACAGTGGTTGCAGCATTCTATGATTGGCCTTTGGCAACCTTCCCTTCTAATTTTCCCACAAGCTAAGTCAAGTTGGCAGAGAAGGTCACAAGTCACTCCTGCCAATTTTTCTCCAAGCAACCCACTACGTAGGGCCTTGTATTCTATAGATGTATATGCCCACAGCAGCCCCCTGCCCACACTCCATAGTCTGCAAGCACAGAACTGCATTTATGCAGCACTGCAGTGTCCTTTCCTGCACTTGCCCTGTGTTGTCCCTTCCCCACTACCCAGTCTTGTGGTGCTGCAGCACCCACTTCCCCAACCCAGTTCTATCCCATAGCACTCATTTGCCTGCCTGCTTCTTGGGGCTTGCAACTTTCTGCTGGCTTTCCTGTTGACTTTGCTTGGAAGCCAGTGGTAAGTCACAAGTCATGATCATGGGTGGTCCTCACTTAACAATCCACGATCTCCACTTAACCATAGCAACTGAGACTGTTGGGATTGCTGTTTGCTAAGCGATGTGATCACCTGATATTGCACTTTATGCCTGTGTCACTTAGGGACAGAAATTCTGATCCCCAGAATTGTCATTAAGCAAGGACTATCTGTAGATAAGTAACTGTTGTGCTGGGTAAACTGTTCCACAGCAACGCAAGTACAATTAAAAAGATCTCCTTCTGGAATCCCACCTAGTTCACATCTGGAAAGGAGAAATCTATAGCATATATTGGACAGGTATATTTTACAAGGAACATATGGGCCCTGAAGCAATGAGGACTCAAATTATATAGGACTTTACAGGTGACCACCAGCACTAGAAGCCCACTGGCAACCAATGCAGCTTCTGCAAGGCCGCTTTTTCTTGTCCCAGTCAGCTTTCACCTGTCAGCATGCAGCATTTTATACCAACTGCGCTTCCAAAGTATCTTCCAGGTAGCTTTCAAGTTAAGCAGACAACAGATGATCTGAATTCTTATTGATAGTGCCTCCTGATCCTGGAAAAGAATCCCACTGGATGACACAGCTTTAATTGGGTAATTGCTCTCCTGGGCTGGCCGGTGCCTATTGAATTAGCATGCATTAAAAGGAACAGTAGCATCCTACCTGAAGCTAAAGATGGTGCTATCCTGAGATCTGATGATTTCTGCAAAAACAGCACCTCCAGTTTTTCCAGATTCAGCCTAAGCTGGTTCCGTACCAACCACTTTCTCAGATCCTTCAGGCACCAATTCAAGCCTTCCACAGCCTATTCTCTAGGGCAGGGCCCCCAAACTTGGCAACTTTAAGACTTGTGGACTTCAACTCCCAGAATTCCTCAGCCAGCTTTGCCAGTTGAGGAATTCTGGGAGTTGAAGTCCACAAGTCTTAAAGTTGCCAAGTTTGGAGACCTCTGCTCTATGGCTTGAAATAAAAGATGTAGAAATTTTGATTTTACACTCGATGATTTGTTCATGTTTATGTTCATACCTATACTTGTTATCTTGTACATGTTTGACAAACAAACAAACAAGTACCAAGAGAAATTTTCTCTTCCTGCTAACTAGTGTACTGCTGAGGCATTTTCTTTGGGTGGGAGTCCCCCCCCCCCAAATCTCTGCTGTCCAGCAGGCTTAACTTCTTTCTTGCAGCACCCATAGATTTACTTGTTTTCAGTTTCCTTTTTATAAAACAAACTCTCCAACTGTCTTAATCTTCCTTCCCAAATAGCCCAAAAAACTCTGGAGCCCAGGAGCGATGAAATATCCGCTCCCCTTCACGTGGGGAGCTCGCTCTTTCCAAAGGTCTCGTTCTTTTCTTTCCCAGCAATACTATGCTGACACAAAGCCAGGAGCGGAACGGTTAAACGGACCTTCCCAAAGACCCGCACAAGGCTAGGAAGCGAGATTTAAGCCTTTTTTTCCCCCAGCGCCAGGGGAAGAGAGGAAACCAATGGTCTGTGAAGAGACGCCCAGACTGCCGCCTTATTTCCCGGCCCCTTACCGTTAGGCTCAGAGAGCCGAAGCAGGAGAAGGGAGCAGCTGTTGGGGAAACCTCTCCGTTTACGCGGCGACCCCGGCCGGAGGATCCGCACCTTCGCTCCGAGGAGAAGAGCTGCTTCCGAGGGAAAACAGCCCCAGGCCCTGGCTTCTTTCGCTTCTCCGTGACAGCCCGTGCCTTCGAGCGCCTGGAAGAGAAAGTGGGCAGGCACCACTGCGACCTTAAGCAACACTCAGCCTTCCAGGAAGCGTGGGTTGGATCGGTGCCGCTGTTTCACATTTAATATGTGAGAGCAGCAAAATCGCACAAACCGATTGCAAAGACACACCACCGAGTTGCTAAATTAATCCACTGGTGTCAGGAAGGGAGCCTTCTCTGACATGGCCTCCCGTAGCACATTCTTTATTTATTTATTTTATTTATTTATTTGATTTGCCAATTGTTTACAAGATAATAAGTATAAATGTATACATAGTTGTGAATACATGAAATGGGTACATATAAGAAAAATAAACAATAAACAATAGGACAGGGACGGTAGGCACGTTGGTGCGCTTATGCACGCCCCCTACAGGCCTCTTAGGAAAGGGGTGAGGTCAATAGTAGACACTTGTATTTTATTTTGTGATTTTTTTTGCCAATATGTAAGACAGAGCATTTATTTGTTGAGATTTGAAGTTGCCATTTGTTTGACCACTCTGATACATAGTCAAGATCTTTTTGTAGGGTAGCAGTATTGTCTGTGGTATTGAACAACTTTACATCATCAGCGAAAAGAACGCAATTGCTCTTAATATGATCACAGAGGTCGTTTATGTAGAGTATGAAGAGAGTTGGTCCTAGAACACTGCCTTGGGGAACACCACTATTGACAGGTACTGGATTTGATAGGACACTCCCGATTTTGACCATTTGTTGTCTGTTTGACAGGAATGCTTCTATCCAGTTATTCAGTTGTCCAGAGATACCATAGGATTTTATTTTTAGGAGTAGTTTGTCGTGTACCACTGAATCAAAGGCTTTACAGAAGTCTATGTAGATTGCGTCTATTGCTTTGCCCTGGTCGAGTTGTGTCGTCCATATGTTTTTGCAGTGTAAGAGTTGCAGATTACAGGATAGTTTTTTTCTGAAACCAAATTGTTTATTGGAGAGTAGGTTATTTGTCTCTAAGTGAAGGATGATGGATTGGTTAATAATTGATTCCATGACTTTACAGGTGACGCAGCATAAGGAGATTGGCCTGTAGTTTTCAACTAGGCTTGGGTCTCCCTTTTTGAAGATGGGGATGACTGTGGCTTGTGACCATAGGTTAGGCAAGGAGCTGGTTCTGAAAGATTTTTCAAAGATTATGCTTAGAGGTTTGGCTATGGCAGTGGATAGCTTTCTTAAGAAGTAGGCACATATTCCATCCGGTCCAATAGATAGAGATGGTTTTAGGTTGCGTAGTGCTTTTTCAACATTGTCTTCTGTGAAATCGATATGTATTAGATCATTGTTGTTATCTGTGGTACGGCTAGGAAATACTGGGCATGATCCATTGCTGTTTACAAATACTGAGCCGAAGAATGTGTTAAAGATGTTGGCTTTAATGGTGTCGTCGTTGCAGTCTTTACCATCAGGTCCTATCAAGGGAGGGATGGACCTTGAGTCTTTTAGTTTGTTGTTTACAAAATTGTATTCTCCTCCCTTCCAATTCTCCTCCCTTCCAAGAGCCAAATTTGTCCCCCATTTTCCTGGCCTTTCAGAAATATCTTAAAAATCCTGGATGTACCATCTCGCGTGGGGGCTCACAGACGAGCTGCAGCCATGGGGTCTTCTTCCCCTGCCTTCCATTAATTTTTAATGTTAACTTTTAGCTACCCTTGCGTGGTTTTTTAAATTTTAATATTCATTTTAAAAAAAATATTTTAACATTTTATTTATATACTACCCAGAGTCCCCATATGGGCAATTCCTAAATGAGAGAGAGGGAGAGACAGACCCAATCTTGCAACACCACTGGAACAATTTAAAGGCCAAGATTGCAAAATGCAAAAATAACATAGGATAAGTGTTGGAAGGGACCTTGGAGGTCTTCTAGTCCACTCCCCTGCTCGAGCAGGAGCCCTATACCATTTCAGACAAGTGGTTGTCCAATCTCTTCTTAAAAGGATGGGGCATCCTCAACTTCTGGAGGCAAGGCATTCCATTGGTTAATTGTTCTCCCAGTTAGGAAGTTTCTCCTTAGTTCTAGGTTGGTTCTCTTGCCTTCTGGTGCTTTCAAAAATAGGTTCTCATATCTTTGTGGTACCCCTCTAATATTGGAACACCGCAATCATGTCTCCCCATATCCTCCTTTTCCCTAGACTAGACATACCTAATTCCTGTTCTTCATAAATGCTAGCCTCCAGCCCCCTAATCATCTTTGTTGCTCTTCTCTGCACGCTTTCTAGAGTCTCAACAACTTTTTATATTGTGGTGACCAAAACTGGATGCATTACGCCAACTGTGGTTTTACTCAGCCATATTTCACATGACCTTGATTCTCTCCCCCTATTAATGCTTCCTAGAATTGCATTGGCCTTTTTGGCAGCCGCCACACACAATTGGCCCATATTTAAGTGATTGTCTATGAAGACTCCAAGATCCCTCTGACAGTTACTGGTATTGAATCAAACTTAATCTGTACCTGTAGTTGTTTTTTCTTGCCTAAGAGTAAAATCTTATTTTTCTCTACATTGAATTTCATTTTGTTAGATAGTATCTATTTTTCAAGTCTGTCAAGATCCATCTGAATCTTGAGCCTATCTTCTTGGGGGGTTGGTGCTTCCTACCAGTTTGTCACCTGCAAATTTGATGAGTTCTTCTATTCGTTCATCTAAATCATTTATGAAGATATTGAAGAGTACTGGGCCTAAGACAAAACCTTGCAGTACCCACTGTTTACTTCCCTCCATGTGGCTGTAGACTTCAGTCAGTTACAAATCCATCGTGGTGGTGCTGCCTTTTCCACATTTTTCTAGCTTATCAAGAAGTTGTGGTCTACTTTGTCAAATGCCTTACTGAAATCTAAATACGTTATGTCCACAGCATTTAGCTGATCCACTAATTTAGTCACTTTGTCAAAGAATGTAGTAAGGTTTGTTTGGCATGATCTGTTTTTGATGAAACTGTGTTGACTTCTGGTTCTAACTTTGTTTGCTTGTGTTTGCAGATTTGTTGCTTGATTCTTTTCCAGGATTTTCCCAGGCATAGGTGTTAGGCTGATTGATCTGTAGTTTCCTGGGTCCATTTTCTCTCTCTCTTTCTCTTTTTGAAGATGGGAACTACACCAGCTCTTTTCCAATCCTCAGGTAAGGGCTATTTGATCAGGGATAAAATACTTGTTTCAAATTGCTGATAGCTTCTTATGGACTTTTTGCTGAATCAGGACTGAAAAGATGGATTACATATAGATATGAGTTAGGTTATGGGTAGAAGAGTTTTTTTGTTATGTAATTTTAAGGGAGAGTGAAGAATTATGTTAGCTTATGCTTGGTGTGATGAAGGTTGGAAGCTACTTTATTTCACTATTTTCCTTTTTTCTTTCTCTTGTGCTTTTTAAACTTCTTACTTTAGTTTCAGTTTACTTTGTATTTGTTTTTACTATTAAAATCTCAATAAAATTACTATTAAAAACTTAAATCAACACATCTGGAACATGCTAACTTTCAGAGAATTCTGGTCTACTATCAGCTTCATAGACGCTTTGACTAAATTTTATATGCTTATTATATCACTAGTGTTTATATCTATTCCCTCTTTTGAAGTTAAAGCAAAAAGAGCATCAGATTTTCAGAAAACCACATATAATTAGTTTATAGTTGAAGTATTGATGCATTACAAGTATGATTCCTATAATTCTATTTGCTTACTCTCCACTCTGTGTTCATTACACTCATTCATAAAAATAATTGTACACATTATTGTAATAATTAAGATTATTATCAACGTAAGCTTAATGAAAAGTTGGCTTCGGCATTCCAAAGGTTTTTCTAATGGTTAAAAGCCAAGAATAAGAATTGTAGTTAAAACTAAAATAGATGAATTCATGAGAGTTTGGTTTTCTCTTACATATAATCAAAACAGATATTTTTTTTTTTTTTACCAAATGGAAACAAAACCATAGACAAGATTTTTTAAATGTTTTTTTAGTATAAAAATATAAAACAGCTACACTCTAAATGTTCAAATTTCCTCATTTCACCTCCTAAACATAAAATCTATTTTGTTGCTAGCAGCTGACCCAGTGATATATAGGATCTTGCTCTCTTAGGAATGTATTTTCTACGTAGTATTATTTTTAAAAAAGTACTCAAGAAATTAATAATCTGTTTGTTTGTTTCTCCAAAAGTAGTTACAGGAAATATGGACTCAAAGAAAATAGAGGTAAAATATGGCTAATGGAAAAAAATTGAGTTTTCTTATTCTACCATACATTTTATGCTATTGATTCAGTAATAATTGCCATAATCAACTAGGGGACTTCCATATGCTTTGCCATAAACATCCTATACAGGTAAGACTGCAACTTGCAACTGGTTGCTTATGATAGTCTCAGAGGGTGCTTTGTGGCCTGCAAGGCACTTTCAGCTCTTGTAAAACTCCCCCCTCCCCCTGTTCACATAATCATAATCTGGGTGCTTGGCAACCTGTTTTCACTTGTGACCAGTTGCCAACTGGTGTTTTCATGTGATCATCATCTTCTCTGCTGGCTTCCCCAGAAAATCAGTGGAGAAATTGACAGGGAAGGTTGAAAAGCTGCTGTCTGGAGACTCCTTCTCATCTCTGGGGCTGGTCAAATGAGCTGCCTGTGAAGGGATGCTGAATTCTTTTGGTGGGATGGAGAAATGGATAAGCTTAGTTTCTGCATCCCCACGCAAGTTCCCTTCTGTGCGTGGATAAAGGACATCCTCTTAAGGAGTGGGGAATTGGAGCTGAGAACCTGATTTGAGCTGTTTCTGCACCCCGTGGAAGGAGTTCCCAGAGGAGAGATGACTTTCTTCCATGGGGATGCAGAAACGGAGTTCAGATCGCAATAATTTGAGCTTCATTTCTGCAGCACGCAGGAGTTCCCTTCCATGCACAGAAGGGAGCTTATCTCGTTTGACAGGGTGGAGAAATGGAACTCAGGTCCTGAAGATCTGAGCACTGATTCTGCAGCCCACCAAATGCATTCCTCTCCGTGCACGGAGAGATGATATCCTTTGGCAAGCAGTGCTTTCAGCCCAGCACCTAGAGACGAGGGAGCAGAGGGACAAAGTGATAAAAAGTATGGGTGCTTCAAACAAGTCAGAGAGGTCCTGCATGGGCTGTGTGTTAGTGTCTCTCCCTCAAGGGCTGAAAATCATGCATGGATTTTAGAAGGGGCAGGTTTCAGCTCCTGAGTGGAACCTTCCAGGGTCTTCCCCCAACACCAAGGCACCCTGCACTCCTTACCTGGGACTCTGTCCACTTAATGACCACAACCACAAGTGCCAAGATTGCAATTGTTGAGTGAAGCAATCATGTGATATCTCACTTAACAATGATCAAGATTCCAGGCTCAATTGTAGTTGGTAAGTTGAAGACCGCCTATATCTCCATGTAGGGAGACATATGGAAATTACAGGCATTTAAGGTTCATTGTGAGATGGACTTTTTAAATTATTTATTTCCTATCTTTGATTATTTTTACATATTATTCAAGGCAGCAAATGCAGATGACAAAGCATTGGACAATTTTCTATCTTCTTAATAGCAAATTAAAGATTATATCATGACTTGATCAGTGGAGATATTAATCCAATGTGTTATCTTAGCTGAGGTTGCAACATTTTTGAAGTTTGATGAACAAATGCCAATTGTTTTATTGGCACATCTAGAAGTCTGAAGGTGAAGAGAAGTAGAGGAATTAAAACCATTCTTACACAGGCTATATACTATCAAAAACCCATTGGAATACGCTTCTGATATAATTAAGAGATTTGTTTCTTTCTTAGCTGGGCAGAGCTTTTGGGACTTTGGCATACAAGTAAAGTGTAAAGTAAGAATGAAAGGAATTGCTGAATCAATACCCTATCACAGTAATCAAGTCATTAAATAGGTTACAGCACACAAATTGTGTACACAAGAATTGACTTACGATAAATATGTCCTACAACTAAGAAAGTGAAAGCTGTTAGGACTCTTGCAAAAATTGGTACTGAATGGTAAGCTTTAATATACATGAAAATGACTGAATATAGACTAATACATCATCTTAAAATAATATACATATAGTTAATTAAATACAATGAGTACATTTCAGATATTGTCTTTTAGTACCAGTTCTTGGTCCTAACCTTTCCTCAATTTTCAGTGTGCCTCTCCAAGCCAACTGGTCTTCTTGCTTATGAGGGTCCACAGGAATTTGGGTGGAAGGGGGAAAGCTGTATTGTACGATACGATTATAATTCACATGTGTGTGCTGCTATTACATACCTGTCAATCTTGTTATTCTACTAGATATTTTTATTACTACCATCTTTTCACGCAATAGCCAATAGGTTGCTAAAAAAATTCCATCTTTACAAATACAACTATAGGAAACTAGCTGCCTATTACTATATTAGTATGTTAGTCCATGTGAGTCAGTACTTCATACATTTGACTCAGTATTATGTATAGTATACTGGAAATTCTCTGCAGCAGATCTTAGACCTGACCTTGAAGAACTAGTGTATCTGGTTTACCAATTCCTTTTTGGTTGGTAAAGTTGAGATCCAAAAAAATAACTATGCAACTATCTCAAATCACTAAAAATTGAAATCCAAGGAAGCTGTTCAAAACCCAAAGCAGTGACGGAAATCTGCCCTAGACTGGAATGAGATGCTTCCATTAATACTTAATGCAGATAGTACACAGATGCCTTGATCCAAAAAGGCTGTGCCTATCAATTTTTTTTTTAAAAAGTAGATTATTTGTGTGCTGCCCATTTTGTCAAGTTCTAGATTAATACATACAAAAACTCTACAAGATTTTTTTCCGGCACTTCAGACTCCCACACTGACAGGTAGTCTCCGCCTCAGGCATACTTCCAGCTTCATAACCATAATCCCATGTAAGTTCAGTTCCAGCTTTTACATGTCTGAAAAGCAAATATGCCACACAATTAGAATAATAGCAATAATCCATGAGGATTTATGCTTACTTTTATGAGTGCTTTCTGAAAAATAAGAGATGGGGCTTCAGACTGCCAATAAGGCAGCAACAATGTCTGCTCTTCACAACACTTACAGCTATCTTGGTGAGAAGAACTGTACACAGTACTCCAAATGCTATCTCACTAGTAAAGCAGTACTATCACTTCCCATGATCCTGATGCTATCCCTCTTCTTGATGCAACTTAGGACTACATGGTCCTTTTTGGCAGCTGCAGCACAGTGCTGGCTCATACTCAAGTGGTGTTTCACTAGGACACCCATTCTCTCTAAGTGCAGGATCTTACCTTCACTGAACTGCATTTTGTTTGCTATGGCCCAATGTTCAAATCTGTCAAGACCCCTCTTCTATCCTCCAAAGTGTTAGCAATTATCCCTGGCCTGTCATAGTAACATTACTAAATTTTAAAATTTAATTTAAAGATGACTAAATCTGAATATCTAGCAGACAGTGCTTAAGTAGCACTAATCAAGATTTCTGTTCTTAACAAGGTTAAAGAAACAAATGAAAGCACGGTTTACTTTACTAAAGTTTGCTCTGTCCCTGGAGATTATGCAGGAGAACATTAGCAAGAATGAAAAGCCAGGAAAATTATCTCTTCTGCAACTGTTACTGATTCTTAATAATGGTTTACAAACGCACTTTAAAACATGCTTTTCATCTCTGGTTTATAATTAATATTAACATTTAATAATATCTAAAAAGCTCAGAGCATTTACCCAAGATAAAAGCAGAAGTGTTTATATTACAAAGATAAACATTCTAAGATCAAGTAGCTATTCATCAATACACACATATACAGCCGCACACTCAAATTCCAAAATAACTTTCTTCATCAGTTCCTTGAAATATCAAGTTTTGTTTATAGTGCAGGCATAAAATCACTTATGCTATAAAAATAAGACACAATCATACAGCTGTATTTGCCTTTATATAAATGGGATAAAACTCTTGCTATTATGTTTTTCTCTTTAATATGGCTCAGCCATATCACCATTCCATTTTCTGCCTTCTGTATTGTTTAGTATAGATTTCTACTAAGATAACCACAGAACAAGTAGTTTTATAAAAAAAATTCTTAGTAGAAATCTGTTTTTGCTTACAGAATTATGCTTAGGATTTGTTAACAAAGATAAATATGCCAAACCTCTTTGTGAAGAATGCCACCCAGGGGAAGTTTCTATCGTGAGTCTCTACAAATACACTTTGTACAAAGAGATTAGGAGAGCAGCTGTGCTATAAAGAAAATAAATAACAGTTAAAGTAGAAGTAGAAGCACCTGTTTTCTTTTAATATATATTTTTGTACACATTTGGAATGTTTCTTTTGGCAGACATACTCTACTTATGGAGTCAGGTATGAATGCCTGGGCAAAACATTCTTTTCTGTAACATCATCATTAATGCAAAAATAACAAAAGAGGAAAATGGTTTTATAAAGGGGCAAAATCTGTGTATTTAGTATCAATATGTTATAAAACCATAGAGCTGTTTTTTGATATATTTTATATGCTATTTTTATTTATTTTGTTTTGCTTAAAAGTTGTTGTTAGCTCTAGACACTCTTGTAGGGCCCTTTCAAGCTTTGTGTTTCAAGAAACTACAGTAACACTCTTTTTTAAGGATTCTGATCATTAGCATCCTTATCAACTCCTCAGCCTTAATAGGATCAGGGATCAAACTGTTAAGAACACCAGTTACAGACCTGATACTCTGCCCTATCAAAAGCAGACAAGCCCTGCCTTTTACAGTGAATGGTTACACTTAAGATTCTTCTCTGAATTTTTTATGCTTATATTCTTCTCTTATCACCACAGAATAATCTTTAGTAGTCTCTATTTGATGAATATCCATGTCCTTTTTCTTTTTAATTGTTAAATTATACAAGAACTTTATAATTTTGTAGCTGATGCTGCTGACTTACTGGGTTAACAGATTAGTGACTCTTCCATTATCCATACTTCTTGGATGACTTTTCTAGCACCGAGTTCAACCAGACCAATAAAAGCAAAAGCAAAATTGCTCCAGAGGAAGCCAATGAGTAGAACAAACTTCAATGGCCAAAGGCTTCTATTCCAATAGTAACTAACACGATGAAGAATAAAAGGAGGGGAAGAGACCATAAACCTCATTTTAGGACTTATTCACACCAAGTCCCTTCCTCCATTTCAAACCCTAGCCTTTTTTTTGGCTCCACTCTTCAGCCCTATTTCCTTACAGTGGACATAGTGGCTTAGCAAAATATCATTAATTACACACTGAACATATTTATTTACCTCCTCATTTATTATCAACCACTTCTACATTTGGTTATACTTATCACTGGCATCTAAATGTAAGGCTAAAAAGGTTTTCCAGTATTTGCATGTGAATTATGAGGATGGAAAATGAGAACCCACATTGTTGGGGGCAATATGCTGACTCTGTAAACCACTTATAGAGGGCTGTAAAACACTGTGAAGCACTGGTAAGTCTACTGTTACTGCTATTTCAACACATAGCTAGCAAAACTGTAATGTTTTTCAAAATTAGCATAATATTAATTACGAAAAAGGTAACTCTTTAACTTGATCCATTTCAATTGGGATTCAGCCCCGAGTACGAGACTGTGATGAATGCACTTATGTATAATCTCTTGTGGAATTGGAATGGGGGTAGTACACCCATCCTTGCTGTTCTTGACCTCAGTGGATTTTGATACCATCAATCAGACTCCTTTCTGGATCCCCTCTGGGAGATGGGAGTGAATAGCACAGTCTTGTGTTAAGGAAAAACTTGTGTTTTTCCTTCCAGGACCAGTTCGAATCACTTAGGGGTGGGTGGGTAAGGGAGGGTCCAGACCACAACCTCTACTTTTTGAATAGGTCTGAGTTCTCTCTCCCCTCTTGCTTAACATATACATGTAGCCACTGAGTGAGGTCATCTGATGTTTAGAGTGAGGTATCATCAGTATGTGAGAGCTAGACTGGTGTGACGGTTAAGGAACTGAGGAACTATTTTTCTGGTCTTGTCTTAGAAAAAGGGGTCACCCAAATGTATCTTAGGAAAGAAGTTGTGGTTCAACCCAAACAAGACTTAGGGGCTTTAAGGTTTTGAACCTAAGGATTTTCCATTTTTTATTCTGGATGAGGTGGCACTGCCTCAAACAGATAGGATGAGCAATTTGCTCACCTTCAGGTTGTGCATCTGTTGTGCCTGTTCCTGGATTGGGAGGCCTTGCTCAGTGTTATTCATTCCACAATAACCACCTGTCTGGACTACCACAATACTCACTACATCGGGCTGCCCCTGAAAAGCATTTGGAAGCTTCAACAGGTGCAGAATGCAGCTTCATGTACAGTAAACTGTGCTGACTACTTAGTGCACGTGAGCTGTATTAGTTGCCAATGTGCTTTTAGATACAATTCAAAGAGCTGGTTGTCACCTTTAAAAGCCTTCATGGCTTGGGACCGGGTTACTTAAGGAACCGTTTTCCCCAGTTGCTTCTACCTGACTGGCCAAGCAGGATGAGCATATTCCCGTCTGCCAGCTAAGAAATGTTGGTTGTCAGGGCCCAGAAGGTGAGCCTTCTCTGCTGCAGGGCCTACAGATCAGGGTGTCCCCATTCTTACTGGCCCTTTCATAAAGTTCTGAAATCCCAGGACCCTGAGTCTATGAAGGGACACATCTCCCAGTTGTGTTAGTGATAGCTGCATTTTTCTCGGCTACTGTGCATTTACATTTTTATAGTTGCAATTGTACGTTTTTAAACTTTCATTTTAAATATTGCTTGCTGCCCAAAGCTATTGGCTCAGATATGTGTCTATGTAAACTGGAACTAGAGAAGTAAAAAAACAAAACTTACATTAAGAAACCTGCCTACATTGCCTTCCCTTGTGGCATCCACCAAACAAGTATTTTCTTCATTCTTTGGGCATGTCTCAATTTCTGCTGCCTCCTTCATACAAGCAAGTTCCTGTCTGGTTCTCTGAGTTTTTCCCTTATGTTGTTTTTTCACTTCTTTGTCATCTTGCATAGGCAGTTTACTTTTCAAAACAGCATCGGAAAGGAGATTCTCTTTATGGCAGTCAGGGTTAGCTTCAGAATTTCTAGCGTTTGCCAATTTTTCACATTTTCCTTGCAGGCTTGATTCTGTAAAGAACCACATCAAGATTAGCATTTGATTTAGGAACATCTCACAGTTACACCTTCCAGTATGTAATATAGATGCTCTGATTTAAATTTGCTAGACCAATTGATCAAAATATTATTTTTGTACCTGAAGCTCTATCAGATTCAGAGCACGATCATGGCCATACCTAAGTTTTCAGTATTTGGATCAAAGGGCAAAGCCACTGTGAATACTGTGCTTTATCTGTTGGCAGTTGCTTATAAGGAGTTGCACCTTTTCCATAGATAATGACAGGGTAATGTCATTGTGCTGTCTCTGCTTCCTGAATTCACATATACAAATTAAGGAAAAGGTACAACTCCTTCAAGGAGCTGCCAATAAATAAAGAAAAGATGCCCATGTGGGATATGAAGTAAAATCTTTGATAATGGCTTATGCTCAGAAAAAAAACCTGCATCATAATTCTCATGCCACGCGTCACATAGCAGATCCCACATATGCCTGCTAAAAACATAAGACCCCATAGCAAGAAGTTAGCTTTGTGTTCTAGGCAGCTATAAATTCTGAACTATTCCAAACAAGTAAGATCATCACTGCTCAAAGCTCTTCAACTCAGAGTATCAGGGAGGTAATATTTGAGGTTATCTGTCTACCGAAGGTAAGAAACCATGGCAAAGGCTGAATATTATATTAATAGAATATTATAGTCTTTTCTGTGCTGGTAAGAATTTTTCATACTTTTACATTTCAGCATTATTTTTATGCAATTTTCTTTTGATTTTATTAACTATAGTGCTTTTAACTCCTTAATAGTGGTTTTGAGATATGCAATTTTATTTTAAAATTTGTTGAAAATGAAAAAAAATGGTGCAACTTTACGTTCATCTCCTTTTTTTGTTGCTGGAGTTATTCTTGTTGTTCCTGACACCTGACACAAAGAAATCTCATCTTCATCAGAGCTGGCATCAGTAATTCCCTTTGAAGAAAGAAATTAGTAAGAGTAGGCAAACTAGGAATTTTAATCCTGGATTTCTTTTGTTGGCTTCTCAAGGCTTTGAACTTTTTCTAGAAGCCACTTGGGTCTTGGATACAACAAACACATTTTCTGGTTTTCATACAGCACCACAGGACATGTTGGGCAAGGGTGAGGTAAGATAAATAAAAATTAACTCGAAGAGACTCTCTGATCTCCAATCAAACCCAAATATTTTACTTAGGCAGGATCAATCTGTGAAACAGAGTACTCCAGTACATCCTTCTTGGAAGGACAAATTGTAAAGTAGATTCAGCAAACAGTGGTATCCTAAAATAATCTCCTTTCTCAGGCTCTCTTACTTCTCCTAACTTCAAAGGTGCATGAAATGTTTCAAACTCAGAACTGCTCAAATGCAAAACAGCCTTTTCAAATTTGAACTGCACTAGTACAATTTCATTTGCCAGTTCAATGAAATGTTGGAGCACATTCATTAAGGTCAAAACAGTTCGATTTAATCTCAAGACAGATATTTCCAAGCTCAGAATAATTGACACTTATTACACAATACAGGTACCTCTCGACTTGTAACCATTAGTTCAGTGACCTATCCAAGTTACAATAGCACTGGGAAAAGTCACAACTGTTTCTTACATTCATGACTGTTGCAGCAATCGCATGGTTGGGTACTTGGCAACCATGCACGTGTATATTATGGTTGCAACCTCCTGGGTTCACATGACTTGCCATTTGTGACCTTCCTGGCTGGCTTTTGACAAATAAAATCAATGGGGAGAGTTGAATTCACTTAACAACCATGAGATTCACTTCAAAACCGCAGTGATTTGCTTAACGACTGTGGCAGAAAAGGTCATGACTGATTTAACAACTGTCTTGATTAGCAAAAGACAATTCTAGTCCCAATTATGGTAATAAATTAAGGATTATCTGTAATCTCTTTAAATTAAGGATTATCTGTAATCTCTTTAAATTAAGGATTATCTGTAATCTCATATTCATATACATTACATACACACACACACATACATTCATTCTTTTGGAGTAAAGAGAAGGAAGGAACAGTGCAGGATAGTTCATCAACCCCAGTAACTTTAAGATACATAGACTTCAACTCCCAAAATTCCCCAGCCAACATGCTGAAGTCTGGATATCTTAAAGTTGTTGAGGTTGAAAAATATTGTGGTACTGTATTATTTACTCACTGAGCAAAGTAAGACCTTCCCTAATTACTTGGCTACCAAATGCAGAAACAGAACAGATTTGAAATAGCTGAAGTATAGATTAAAATAAAGTGAAAAGCCAAAAAACAAATGCAGAATATTTACTAGTTCTCGCCGGTGTTTTTGAAGAAGGGATGTTTTAGTTTTAGGTCTTGCAATAGCTTGTACATTCTTGTATGAAGTGTAGTTCTGAACCCTGCTAACAGAAACATGGTTTTATATAGCATACGTTAAAGTAGAATTCTTTTAACTGTTTTTAAATTATTGCTTGTAATAATTGTCCTAGTAATTGTCCAATGTTTACAGCAAATTCCTTGTCATCTTGTGGAAATTTTGTATTGGCCTACAAAGATTACAATTTTACCTAAACTTTTTTTTATGTAAACAGACTCACACATCCATTTGGGAGTTTCATCCACTTGGAAGATTTAGCGTATTCTACTGAAATAAAAGAGCTTGTATAATATTATTGTCAATGTTGAAAGCCCAGCTTCTACTTAATTTGAGAAGAGATTTAAAGCATTAAAGAATAATTTATGTACTAAGAAGATTTTGAAACTGCTGTAATCACCACATTGTAATATTATGATTTGCATTTTTTATGTCGTAAGGCTCTTTTTCACAACTGGGCCTGCTCTACTTTAGAGTGATGCAACATTTATGATTTTCAGCAAATATTTGCTGCCACCACTTTCTTTTTAGCTTCAACTATGGTTATAAAATAAACACAAAAATGCTTTCCCTTTAGTGACCTGGAATCCCTTCCACCACCACTTCAACATATGGACATTTAAAACATACATTTAATGCTCTTAGGAATACATGGCAATGAAGAAAATATAGAGGATTATTAAATTTAGAGATGAGGATTAAACATCAGGAGAGGTAAAATGAACGAAGGAATAATTTAGGTACACTCAGCCACAGTGGGGATTAAGCCTAAAAAGATCAGCCATTTGCCTCAAGCACATGTAAAATAATATCAACTTCCTAACACTACTCTTATTTAATATTCTGAACACATAATTTTGAGTTGGATTATATCTTCTCAGGGTCTGGTAGGTGGGCTTAATTTCCTTTCTTTACTACCACCAAAGAACCAGACTCTCCAACAAACTCCTTCCTCATTACTTCATCTCAAGAGGAGCCATGCTTACTCAGAGCAACTGTGTATATAATTTTGATCTAATCTGATGGATTTTTAAATGCTTGTATTGTTAGAGATACACATTACATGTTTACGGTGTTAATGTGTCACTTCTAGATGGACCATAAAAGTGGCTCTATCCAGATTCAAACAGTGAAGGGATGCTAAACATGTAATTATTGTTAATTATTTAAATTATTTAAACATGTAATTGTTGTTAACTTACCGATTTGGTTGACCTTCAGCATTCAGATGTAAAGATTGTTGTCTTCCAGTGTTCTGAGTAAGTTCATTCTCTGAATCAGAACAGACTGCACCCAGTTTTCTCTTTCTTGAAAACAAACTCTGGTTGGTTTTCTTGGTAACTTCTTCAATTTCACCACTATCTTCACCCTGGTAATGTTCATCTCTGGACATCAATTTCCCTAGAATAAAACACTGTATTTATGAAATGTATATCCCAAGTATGGCAGTAAAAAAAGATAAAACATTTAAGGAAGGCAAAAAGTATGTCTCAGATAGGCCTAAAGCGTATCTCCTCTTGCCCTACCTGCATATGTACAAACAAATGTTCCTTTGTCAATGTCATCAAGGCAACGAACTCCCCAGCCTTTCTTTTCAGTGCTGAAGACTTGTAAGCGAACTTGAAGGCCGTGCTGTACCAATCTGTTCTGGCACATGTTCTTGTCACAGCTGCAGAGCAAGCTGCATTCATAAACTCTGATACACAAAGCAAAGAATAAGATAAAGGAGGATTATGGGGGGGAAAGCATCAAAGTGCATATGAGCACAGACAGATAAACACACACATTCACTCCTTTGGGTCTTCCAATAAGGATGCCCCTTGCTTGGACAGAGAAAGATGAAGAAAAATAGGCAGTGAGCATATAAACTCAAGGCAAGACAACTCAGCAACTACACTATCGTAAAACAGCAGGGTTCTTAAGAAATTAACAAGTGCATGAACAGTACAAGATTTGGCCCAATTGACGGCAGATGGAAATCAACGAATGGTCTAGCAACATATCAGAATTCTTGAAAGTGTACAATGATGGATAATGTTCTTAAAATGTATACTTTATATATTTGCTAACAACTGGCATTCCTGGATGAATGGGTTTATTTATTGTGTCTTTTGAGTGAACAACTATTGCAATTCCTTAGCAGAGAATGCATTTATTGATGCTTAGATTCAATAGAGGCACAATGTAGTCGCCATGGGCGAATAGGCGGCAAGATAAATTTAATAAATAAATAGTGCAGGTAGTTCTTGATTTATGACCACAATTAGGGGTTTCTGTTTGTTGGGTGCTCCATCGCTGGAGGTTTTCAAGAAAAGACCAGACAACCATTTGTCCGGGATGCAATGAAGATTCCTGCAATGAATCCTGCAGAGGGTTGTACTAGAACAGGGGTCTCCAACCTTGGCAACTTTAAGACTTGTGGTCTTTCTTTGCTGGCTGAGGAATTCTGGAAGTTGAAGTCCACAAGTCTTAAAGTTGCCAAGGTTGGAGACCCCTGTACTAGAAGACCACCAAGGTCCCCCTCAAGTCCTATGATTCTGTAAGTCGATGCAGTCATAAAGCAAGTCATGACATGACTAGACCTGATTTTACAACTATTTTTACCACAGATATTAAAGGAATCATTACGGTCATTTGGCAAATCTGGCTTCCCCAAATGGCTTTGCTTATTGGAAGCAGGTTGGAAAAGTTGAAAATTACTATCACATGACTACACTATTACTTGTAAATGCAAGCTAGGTGCCAAGCAACTGGATTATGATCACATGACTGTGGGGATGCTGTGACAGCTGTAACTTTTGAGAGTAGATCATAAAGCACTTTTCCCAAGGCTGTTGTAACTTCAAACCATTGTTAAATGAACGGTAAGTCAAGGATACCAGGCATGCTCAAAACAAACACTGACCAAAACATCTTTACTTTTATTTTAGAACGCTCCTCATGTAAGTAATAAAGGACAGGTTTACATATGCCAATAAGTCAATCTGGGACAATTAAAATGCTCTAAAAGCCACCTATAGCTTTCAGGTCTAAGCCTGGGTTGCAAACTCATTAAGCTATAACCATCTGAGAGAACCAAGACATCCAAGCTCAAACCT